GGACACGGAATTTGGGGACACGGAATTTGGGGACACGAAATTGGGGACACGAAATTGGGGACACGGAATTTGGGGACACGGAATTTGGGGACACGGAATTTGGGGACACGGAATTTGGGGACACGGAATTTGGGGACACGAAATTGGGGACACGGAATTTGGGGACACGAAATTTGGGGACACGGAATTTGGGGACACGAAAATTGGGGACACGGAATTTGGGGACACGGAATTTGGGGACACGGAATTTGGGGACACGGAATTTGGAGACACGAAATTGGGGACACGGAATTTGGGGACACGAAATTGGGGACACGGAATTTGGGGACACGGAATTTGGGGACACGGAATTTGGAGACACGAAATTGGGGACACGGAATTTGGGGACACGGAATTTGGGGACACGAAATTTGGGGACACGGAATTTGGGGACACGGAATTTGGGGACACGGAATTTGGGGACACGAAATTTGGGGACACGAAATTGGGGACACGGAATTTGGGGACACGGAATTTGGGGACACGAAATAGGGGACACGGAATTTGGGGACACGAAATTGGGGACACGGAATTTGGGGACACGGAATTTGGGGACACGGAATTTGGGGACACGAAATTGGGGACACGGAATTTGGGGACACGGAATTTGGGGACACGGAATTTGGGGACACGAAATTGGGGACACGGAATTTGGGGACACGGAATTTGGGGACACGAAATTTGGGGACACGAAATTGGGGACACGGAATTTGGGGACACGGAATTTGGGGACACGGAATTTGGGGACACGAAATTGGGGACACGAAATTGGGGACACGGAATTTGGGGACACGGAATTTGGGGACACGGAATTTGGGGACACGGAATTTGGGGACACGAAATTGGGGACACGGAATTTGGGGACACGAAATTTGGGGACACGGAATTTGGGGACACGAAAATTGGGGACACGGAATTTGGGGACACGGAATTTGGGGACACGGAATTTGGGGACACGGAATTTGGGGACACGGAATTTGGAGACACGAAATTGGGGACACGGAATTTGGGGACACGAAATTGGGGACACGGAATTTGGGGACACGGAATTTGGGGACACGGAATTTGGGGACACGGAATTTGGGGACACGAAATTTGGGGACACGGAATTTGGGGACACGGAATTTGGGGACACGGAATTTGGGGACACGGAATTTGGGGACACGAAATTGGGGACACGGAATTTGGGGACACGAAATTTGGGGACACGAAATTGGGGACACGGAATTTGGGGACACGAAATTGGGGACACGGAATTTGGGGACACGAAATTGGGGACACGGAATTTGGGGACACGGAATTTGGGGACACGAAATTGGGGACACGGAATTTGGGGACACGAAATTTGGGGACACGGAATTTGGGGACACGAAATTGGGGACACGGAATTTGGGGACACGGAATTTGGGGACACGGAATTTGGGGACACGAAATTGGGGACACGGAATTTGGGGACACGGAATTTGGGGACACGGAATTTGGGGACACGGAATTTGGGGACACGAAATTTGGGGACACGAAATTTGGGGACACGAAATTGGGGACACGGAATTTGGGGACACGGAATTTGGGGACACGGAATTTGGGGACACGGAATTTGGGGACACGAAATTTGGGGACACGAAATTGGGGACACGGAATTTGGGGACACGGAATTTGGGGACACGGAATTTGGGGACACGAAATTGGGGACACGGAATTTGGGGACACGAAATTGGGGACACGGAATTTGGGGACACGGAATTTGGGGACACGGAATTTGGGGACACGGAATTTGGGGACACGGAATTTGGGGACACGGAATTTGGGGACACGGAATTTGGGTACACGGAATTTGGGGACACGAAATTGGGGACACGGAATTTGGGGACACGGAATTTGGGGACACGGAATTTGGGGACACGAAATTTGGGGACACGAAATTGGGGACACGAAATTGGGGACACGGAATTTGGGGACACGGAATTTGGGGACACGGAATTTGGGGACACGGAATTTGGGGACACGGAATTTGGGGACACGGAATTTGGGGACACGGAATTTGGGGACACGGAATTTGGGGACACGGAATTTGGGGACACGGAATTTGGGGACACGGAATTTGGGGACACGGAATTTGGGGACACGGAATTTGGGGACACGGAATTTGGGGACACGGAATTTGGGGACACGGAATTTGGGGACACGGAATTTGGGGACACGGAATTTGGGGACACGGAATTTGGGGACACGGAATTTGGGGACACGGAATTTGGGGACACGGAATTTGGGGACACGGAATTTGGGGACACGGAATTTGAGGACACGGAATTTGGGGACACGGAATTTGGGGACACGGAATTTGGGGACACGAAATTGGGGACACGAAATTGGGGACACGGAATTTGGGGACACGGAATTGGGGACACGAAATTGGGGACACGAAATTGGGGACACGGAATTTGGGGACACGGAATTTGGGGACACGGAATTTGGGGACACGAAATTGGGGACACGAAATTGGGGACACGAAATTGGGGACACGGAATTTGGGGACACGGAATTTGGGGACACGGAATTTGGGGACACGGAATTTGGGGACACGGAATTTGGGGACACGAAATTGGGGACACGAAATTGGGGACACGGAATTTGGGGACACGGAATTTGGGGACACGGAATTTGGGGACACGGAATTTGGGGACACGGAATTTGGGGACACGGAATTTGGGGACACGGAATTTGGGGACACGGAATTTGGGGACACGGAATTTGGGGACACGGAATTTGGGGACACGGAATTTGGGGACACGGAATTTGGGGACACGGAATTTGGGGACACGGAATTTGGGGACACGGAATTTGAGGACACGGAATTTGAGGACACGGAATTTGGGGACACGGAATTTGGGGACACGAAATTGGGGACACGAAATTGGGGACACGGAATTTGGGGACACGGAATTGGGGACACGAAATTGGGGACACGAAATTGGGGACACGGAATTTGGGGACACGGAATTTGGGGACACGGAATTTGGGGACACGAAATTGGGGACACGAAATTATGGACACGAAATTGGGGACACGGAATTTGGGGACACGGAATTTGGGGACACGGAATTTGGGGACACGGAATTTGGGGACACGGAATTTGGGGACACGAAATTGGGGACACGAAATTGGGGACACGGAATTTGGGGACACGGAATTTGGGGACACGGAATTTGGGGACACGGAATTTGGGGACACGGAATTTGGGGACACGGAATTTGGGGACACGGAATTTGGGGACACGGAATTTGGGGACACGGAATTTGGGGACACGGAATTTGGGGACACGGAATTTGGGGACACGGAATTTGGGGACACGGAATTTGGGGACACGGAATTTGGGGACACGGAATTTGGGGACACGGAATTTGGGGACACGGAATTTGGGGACACGGAATTTGGGGACACGGAATTTGGGGACACGGAATTTGGGGACACGGAATTTGGGGACACGGAATTTGGGGACACGGAATTTGGGGACACGGAATTTGGGGACACGGAATTTGGGGACACGGAATTTGGGGACACGGAATTTGGGGACACGGAATTTGGGGACACGGAATCCTCCGCCAAAATATTCGTACCCCTCCGCCAAAATATTCGTACCCTCCCCCAAAATTTCGTACCCTCCCCCAAAATATTCGTACCCTCCCCCAAAATATTCGTACCCTCCCCCAAAATATTCGTACTCTCCCCCAAAATTTCGTACCCTCCCCCAAAATATTCGTACACTCCCCCAAAATTTCGTACCCTCTGCCAAAATATTCGTACCATCCATCAAAACTTCGTACCCTCCCGCAAAATATTCGTACCCTCCCCCATAATTTAGTACCCTCCCCCAAAATATTCGTACCATCCATCAAAATTTCGTACCCTCCCGCAAAATATTCGTACCCTCCCCCATAATTTAGTACCCTCCCCCAAAATATTTGTACCCTCCCGCAAAATATTCGTACCCTCCCCCCAAAATATTCGTACCCTCCCCCAAAATATTCGTACCCTCCCCCAAAATTTCGTACCCTCCCCCAAAATATTCGTACCCTCCCCCAAAATATTCGTACCCTCCCCCAAAATATTCGTACCTTCCCCCAAAATTTCGTACCCTCCCCCAAAATAACGTACCCTCCGCCAAAATATTCGTACTCTCCCCCAAAATATTCGTACCCTCCACCAAAATTTCGTACCCTCCCCCAAAATATTCGTACCCTCCCGCAAAATATTCGTACCCTCCCCCAAAATATTCGTACCCTCCCCCAAAATTTCGTACCCTCCGCCAAAATATTCGTACCCTCCCCCAAAATTTCGTACCCTCCCCCAAAATATTCGTACCCTCCCCCAAAATATTCGTACCCTCCCCCAAAATATTCGTACTCTCCCCCAAAATTTCGTACCCTCCCCCAAAATATTCGTACACTCCCCCAAAATTTCGTACCCTCCGCCAAAATATTCGTACCATCCATCAAAACTTCGTACCCTCCCGCAAAATATTCGTACCCTCCCCCATAATTTAGTACCCTCCCCCAAAATATTCGTACCATCCATCAAAATTTCGTACCCTCCCGCAAAATATTCGTACCCTCCCCCATAATTTAGTACCCTCCCCCAAAATATTTGTACCCTCCCGCAAAATATTCGTACCCTCCCCCCAAAATATTCGTACCCTCCCCCAAAATATTCGTACCCTCCCCAAAATATTTTTACCCTCCCCCAAAATTTCGTACCCTACCACAAAATATTCGTACCCTCCCCCTAAATATTCGTACCCTCCCCCAAAATATTCGTACCTTCCCCCAAAATTTCGTACCCTCTCACAAAATATTCGTACCCTCCCCCAAAATATTCGTACCTCCCCCAAAATTTCGTACCCTCCCCCAAAATATTCGTAACCTCCCCCAAAATTTCGTACCCTCCCCCAAAATTTCGTACCCTCCCGAATTTTCATTGCAAATATTTAGGCAAAATGCTATTACGAATTTTTCGGATAAACAATTAGATATGCTAGAAATTATGCAAGCTTTTAGAAATACGAGAATGATTGATAAGCGTCCGTTAGGGGACCAAAAATCTATTTTCAACAAATTTAGCCAAATGTATACACCCTCAATTTCTGATTGGTTTAAAGAGATAAATTTTTGGGAATTATGGTTTAAGTTAATTACTATTATGGTAGCACTAAAATGGGCCTGGAAATTATATAATTATTATTATAGACGCATAGTTAAAAAAGAAATTAAAAATATTCTAATTTCCAAATTTCAGGCGGAGAGGATATCGAAAGTGGAAATGGAAGAAATTAGAGATGAGAAAAAGATAACTAGAGATGAAAGAAGGTGGTAAGGAAGGAACCCAAAATTTCGTACCCTCCCCCAAAATATTCGTACACTCCCCCAAAATTTCGTACCCTCCGCCAAAATATTCGTACCATCCATCAAAACTTCGTACCCTCCCCCAAAATATTCGTACCCTCTCCCCAAAATATTCGTACCCTCCCCCAAAATATTCGTACCCTCCCCCAAAATATTCGTACCCTCCCCCAAAATATTCGTACCCTCCCCCAAAATATTCGTACCCTCCCCCAAAATTTCGTACCCTCCGCCAAAATATTCGTACCCTCCCCCAAAATATTCGTACCCTCCCCCAAAATATTCGTACCCTCCGCCAAAATATTCGTACCCTCTCCCCAAAATATTCGTACCCTCCCCCAAAATATTCGTACCCTCCCCCAAAATATTCGTACCCTCCCCCAAAATATTCGTACCCTCCCCCAAAATATTCGTACCCTCCCCCAAAATTTCGTACCCTCCGCCAAAATATTCGTACCCTCCCCCAAAATTTCGTACCCTCCCCCAAAATATTCGTACCCTCCCCCAAAATATTCGTACCCTCTCCCCAAAATATTCGTACCCTCCCCCAAAATATTCGTACCCTCCCCCAAAATATTCGTACCCTCCCCCAAAATATTCGTACCCTCCCCCAAAATATTCGTACCCTCCCCCAAAATTTCGTACCCTCCGCCAAAATATTCGTACCCTCCCCCAAAATTTCGTACCCTCCCCCAAAATATTCGTACCCTCCCCCAAAATATTCGTACCCTCCCCCAAAATATTCGTACTCTCCCCCAAAATTTCGTACCCTCCCCCAAAATATTCGTACACTCCCCCAAAATTTCGTACCCTCTGCCAAAATATTCGTACCATCCATCAAAACTTCGTACCCTCCCGCAAAATATTCGTACCCTCCCCCATAATTTAGTACCCTCCCCCAAAATATTCGTACCATCCATCAAAATTTCGTACCCTCCCGCAAAATATTCGTACCCTCCCCCATAATTTAGTACCCTCCCCCAAAATATTTGTACCCTCCCGCAAAATATTCGTACACTCCCCCCAAAATATTCGTACCCTCCCCCAAAATATTCGTACCCTCCCCCAAAATTTCGTACCCTCCCCCAAAATATTCGTACCCTCCCCCAAAATATTCGTACCCTCCCCCAAAATATTCGTACCTTCCCCCAAAATTTCGTACCCTCCCCCAAAATAACGTACCCTCCGCCAAAATATTCGTACTCTCCCCCAAAATATTCGTACCCTCCACCAAAATTTCGTACCCTCCCCCAAAATATTCGTACCCTCCCGCAAAATATTCGTACCCTCCCCCAAAATATTCGTACCCTCCCCCAAAATTTCGTACCCTCCGCCAAAATATTCGTACCCTCCCCCAAAATTTCGTACCCTCCCCCAAAATATTCGTACCCTCCCCCAAAATATTCGTACCCTCCCCCAAAATATTCGTACTCTCCCCCAAAATTTCGTACCCTCCCCCAAAATATTCGTACACTCCCCCAAAATTTCGTACCCTCCGCCAAAATATTCGTACCATCCATCAAAACTTCGTACCCTCCCGCAAAATATTCGTACCCTCCCCCATAATTTAGTACCCTCCCCCAAAATATTCGTACCATCCATCAAAATTTCGTACCCTCCCGCAAAATATTCGTACCCTCCCCCATAATTTAGTACCCTCCCCCAAAATATTTGTACCCTCCCGCAAAATATTCGTACCCTCCCCCCAAAATATTCGTACCCTCCCCCAAAATATTCGTACCCTCCCCAAAATATTTTTACCCTCCCCCAAAATTTCGTACCCTACCACAAAATATTCGTACCCTCCCCCTAAATATTCGTACCCTCCCCCAAAATATTCGTACCTTCCCCCAAAATTTCGTACCCTCTCACAAAATATTCGTACCCTCCCCCAAAATATTCGTACCCTCCCCCATAATTTAGTACCCTCCCCCAAAATATTCGTACCATCCATCAAAATTTCGTACCCTCCCGCAAAATATTCGTACCCTCCCCCATAATTTAGTACCCTCCCCCAAAATATTTGTACCCTCCCGCAAAATATTCGTACCCTCCCCCCAAAATATTCGTACCCTCCCCCAAAATATTCGTACCCTCCCCAAAATATTTTTACCCTCCCCCAAAATTTCGTACCCTACCACAAAATATTCGTACCCTCCCCCTAAATATTCGTACCCTCCCCCAAAATATTCGTACCTTCCCCCAAAATTTCGTACCCTCTCACAAAATATTCGTACCCTCCCCCAAAATATTCGTACCTCCCCCAAAATTTCGTACCCTCCCCCAAAATATTCGTAACCTCCCCCAAAATTTCGTACCCTCCCCCAAAATTTCGTACCCTCCCGAATTTTCATTGCAAATATTTAGGCAAAATGCTATTACGAATTTTTCGGATAAACAATTAGATATGCTAGAAATTATGCAAGCTTTTAGAAATACGAGAATGATTGATAAGCGTCCGTTAGGGGACCAAAAATCTATTTTCAACAAATTTAGCCAAATGTATACACCCTCAATTTCTGATTGGTTTAAAGAGATAAATTTTTGGGAATTATGGTTTAAGTTAATTACTATTATGGTAGCACTAAAATGGGCCTGGAAATTATATAATTATTATTATAGACGCATAGTTAAAAAAGAAATTAAAAATATTCTAATTTCCAAATTTCAGGCGGAGAGGATATCGAAAGTGGAAATGGAAGAAATTAGAGATGAGAAAAAGATAACTAGAGATGAAAGAAGGTGGTAAGGAAGGAACCCAAAATTTCGTACCCTCCCCCAAAATATTCGTACACTCCCCCAAAATTTCGTACCCTCCGCCAAAATATTCGTACCATCCATCAAAACTTCGTACCCTCCCGCAAAATATTCGTACCCTCTCCCATAATTTAGTACCCTCCCCCAAAATATTCGTACCCTCCCCAAAATATTTTTACCCTCCCCCAAAATTTCGTACCCTACCACAAAATATTCGTACCCTCCCCCTAAATATTCGTACCCTCCCCCAAAATATTCGTACCTTCCCCCAAAATTTCGTACCCTCTCACAAAATATTCGTACCCTCCCCCAAAATATTCGTACCTCCCCCAAAATTTCGTACCCTCCCCCAAAATATTCGTAACCTCCCCCAAAATTTCGTACCCTCCCCCAAAATTTCGTACCCTCCCGAATTTTCATTGCAAATATTTAGGCAAAATGCTATTACGAATTTTTCGGATAAACAATTAGATATGCTAGAAATTATGCAAGCTTTTAGAAATACGAGAATGATTGATAAGCGTCCGTTAGGGGACCAAAAATCTATTTTCAACAAATTTAGCCAAATGTATACACCCTCAATTTCTGATTGGTTTAAAGAGATAAATTTTTGGGAATTATGGTTTAAGTTAATTACTATTATGGTAGCACTAAAATGGGCCTGGAAATTATATAATTATTATTATAGACGCATAGTTAAAAAAGAAATTAAAAATATTCTAATTTCCAAATTTCAGGCGGAGAGGATATCGAAAGTGGAAATGGAAGAAATTAGAGATGAGAAAAAGATAACTAGAGATGAAAGAAGGTGGTAAGGAAGGAACCCAAAATTTCGTACCCTCCCCCAAAATTTCGTACCCTCCGCCAAAATATTCGTACCATCCATCAAAACTTCGTACCCTCCCGCAAAATATTCGTACCCTCCCCCATAATTTAGTACCCTCCCCCAAAATATTCGTACCATCCATCAAAATTTCGTACCCTCCCGCAAAATATTCGTACCCTCCCCCATAATTTAGTACCCTCCCCCAAAATATTTGTACCCTCCCGCAAAATATTCGTACCCTCCCCCCAAAATATTCGTACCCTCCCCCAAAATATTCGTACCCTCCGCCAAAATATTCGTACCCTCTCCCCAAAATATTCGTACCCTCCCCCAAAATATTCGTACCCTCCCCCAAAATATTCGTACCCTCCCCCAAAATATTCGTACCCTCCCCCAAAATATTCGTACCCTCCCCCAAAATTTCGTACCCTCCGCCAAAATATTCGTACCCTCCCCCAAAATTTCGTACCCTCCCCCAAAATATTCGTACCCTCCCCCAAAATATTCGTACCCTCCCCCAAAATATTCGTACTCTCCCCCAAAATTTCGTACCCTCCCCCAAAATATTCGTACACTCCCCCAAAATTTCGTACCCTCTGCCAAAATATTCGTACCATCCATCAAAACTTCGTACCCTCCCGCAAAATATTCGTACCCTCCCCCATAATTTAGTACCCTCCCCCAAAATATTCGTACCATCCATCAAAATTTCGTACCCTCCCGCAAAATATTCGTACCCTCCCCCATAATTTAGTACCCTCCCCCAAAATATTTGTACCCTCCCGCAAAATATTCGTACCCTCCCCCCAAAATATTCGTACCCTCCCCCAAAATATTCGTACCCTCCCCCAAAATTTAGTACCCTCCCCCAAAATATTCGTACCCTCCCCCAAAATATTCGTACCCTCCCCCAAAATATTCGTACCTTCCCCCAAAATTTCGTACCCTCCCCCAAAATAACGTACCCTCCGCCAAAATATTCGTACTCTCCCCCAAAATATTCGTACCCTCCACCAAAATTTCGTACCCTCCCCCAAAATATTCGTACCCTCCCGCAAAATATTCGTACCCTCCCCCAAAATATTCGTACCCTCCCCCAAAATTTCGTACCCTCCGCCAAAATATTCGTACCCTCCCCCAAAATTTCGTACCCTCCCCCAAAATATTCGTACCCTCCCCCAAAATATTCGTACCCTCCCCCAAAATATTCGTACTCTCCCCCAAAATTTCGTACCCTCCCCCAAAATATTCGTACACTCCCCCAAAATTTCGTACCCTCCGCCAAAATATTCGTACCATCCATCAAAACTTCGTACCATCCCGCAAAATATTCGTACCCTCCCCCCAAAATATTCGTACCCTCCCCCAAAATATTCGTACCCTCCCCAAAA